ATTCTACTGAGGAACTTAGAGCCAACAACTTGTTTCCTTCAGGACAGTCTCTTGTTCCCCATGTTTACTGCTTCAGGGCATGGAATAACACCCACTTTGGGCATCGGTTTCTTTCTGGAGTACTCTATGGAGATATGATTATCTTCTTTTAAAAATTATTATTATTGGGCTGGGCATGGTGGTGCACGTGTTTAATCCCAGCACTCGGGAGGCAGGGGCAGGCGGATCTCTGTGAGTTCAAGGCCAGCCTGGTCTACATAGTGAGTTCCAGGACAGCTGGGGCTACAGGGAGACCCTGTCTCAAAAAGACCACAAAAAATTATTATTATTATTTTTTTATGCGTCTGAGTGTTTTTCCTGTAGGTATATAACTGTACCCATGTCATGCAGTGCCAATGGAGGCCAGAAGAGGAGTTTGGATCCCTTGGAACTGGAGTTACAAGTGGTTGGTAGCCACCCTGTGGGTGTGGGGACTGAACCTGGGTCCTCTGGAAGAGCAGCCAGTGCTCATAACCACTGAGCCACCTCTCTAGCCTCTGATTGTCTCCTATAATGACATCTCTCCTGCCTTTCTTGTTCAGTTTTCCTGTCAGTTTTTCTTTTTTTAATTAATTAAAAATTTTATTTGTTTTTATTTTATATGTCTGATTATTTTGTCTGCATATATGTAAATGTATCACATTGTGTGCATTGCCCATGGAGACCAGAAGAGGGCACTTACTTGAGTTACAGATGCTTGTTAGTGACCATGTGGGTGTTGGGGACTAAACCTGGGTCCTGTGTATGAACAACCAGTGCTCTTAACCACTGAGCCATCTCCAGCCCATGTCAATTATTTTAACTAAGGAAACTACTTTGTTTTTCAGGACTCTCAGAATTTAAGAAGCAGATGGGGTGTGGTTGCAGTTGCTCAGTTTGCAGTTTTAGTCTCACGGTGGAAGCTGTGTTTAAAGTGCATAGAAATCTCACATATTTTGTTCTGTGTGTGGACCTGCACTTTTCCTTTTCTTCTGCCAGTTATTTATTTCCTAAGCTGCTCTTACTGCAGGGTGGGACACTCTTCTCATATCTTTTATAAAATTTTGTGTCTTTTCATCTATCCCCACATTGCAGTATCTAGGAAAATTGAAGAATTTACAGATTACATTGATAAGAAAATTAAATGCAGACTTTAATATGTGCCCATCTGAACTACAAAAGTCTGCAGAAATTTTTAGAAAGATGTTGCCTGTCTTTACATTTTTTGTATGTAAAATATTTAGAGTGATTTCTAGTGATTAAAATAATCACACTTCTATCAAGTGGTAAAAGAATCACTTAAAAATGTAGCTGCACTGTCCGTATCTCCAGTTCTAGGGAATCTGATGCACTCTTCTGATCTCTGTGGGCATTGCATGACACAGATGCACTTACGAACATGCAGACAATACACTCATACAAATAAATTAAATAAATAAATAAGTAAATAAATAAATAAATAAATAAATAAATATTTTAGAAAAGGACTTGAGAGATGGCTCAGTGATTAAGAGCACTGGCTCTTCTTGCAGAGGACCTAGACTTGGTTCCCAGCACCCACATGGTGGCTGACAGCTGTCAGTAACTACAGTTCAAGGGGATCGCTGCCCTCTTCTGGCGTCCACAGGTATTGCATGACATGCAGGCAACACGTTTGTGCACATAAAATAAAAATAATATTTAAAAAATAGAAATATGGGGCTGGAGAGATGGCTCAGCGGTTAAGAACACTGGTTGTTCTTGCAGAAGACCCGGGTTCGAATCCCAGCACCCACATGGCAGCTTACAACTGTCGGTAACTCCAGTTCCAGGGGATCCGGCAGCTTCTTCTGTCCTCCATGGCATTGCACTGCACGGATGCACTTACCTACATGCAGGCAATACACGCATACACATAAAAAATTTTTTGTTTTGTTTTGTTTTGTTTTTCTACCTGGTAATTTACTTGAGACTTTACTATAATATCTTTTTTTCCAGAGCAGCATCTGAGACATGTTGAAAAAGATGTTCTGATCCCAAAAATAATGAGAGAAAAGGCCAGAGAGAGGTGTTCTGAACAAGTTGAAGGTAAGATTCATATATTCATATAAAGCTCAAATTCATTTGTAATAATATGATGTGAATTTAATCCTTAGCTTCAGAGTCAAGTAGTCATGAATTAATATGTATGAATGGCTTCTCACCCTTTCGCTGAGATCCCAGCCCTTCAGCTTTCAGAACTTGCAGGCAGTGTTCAGTTCATTTTCAATGTAAAAACATTCCTCCAAATCACTAGTAAAAAACCCCTTTCTTCCCAGAAATACAGTTTTATAGAGAAAAACTTGATGTGAACATTCTGGAGAAAATAGTTATTCTAGGAATTTTGAGAGGGAAAAACGAATCATCAGATCTCCTGTGTACCTGCTTTTCATCTGGCTATATGTTCTCATATATACACGCAAATACTGCAATGATTTACTTTAGTCTTATTGTCTATCACTAAGCTATTAGTGTAATCCTACTAGAACTTTCAGTGAATCTGAGTATCTCTCTCTCTCTCTCTCTCTCTGTATTCTGTTTTGTCTTTTGAAGTGGAAGTTATTTATGTAAATGCATGTACTAGACACACAAGCATGTTTTCTTTGAAAATGTTTTTCACAGTAGTGTTTCTCTCTTATGTACTGTAACTTTAGAAACATGTCGTTGATTGACATGTAACATTCCAGTGAAAATATAGAGTGACAGCTGAAACATGAGGCCATAATACATCTACAGATGATGGGTTAGCAGGAGACCAAGTGGCAGTATTGCTGTAGAAATGTCTTAAAAAATAACCTCCCTCTTGAATGGCCATCAGAAAGCAGCAGTAGAGGTTTGCTCTCATAGGCTATTCTTCTGCCTCCCTTCAGAACCTTTCCCTTTCATTACTTTGGTCCAGGGACCACAGTTCTTAGAGCAGTGAGCTGTAAGCCACTGTAAGCTTTACGGGGAGTCAGGCTATGTCAGCTTTAGTTTTAAAACTGTGTCAATAAAGTTTACATTCCTAGGGGCCTTTTTATCTCCGCCTCCTTCAGTCCTAAGATGACTTCTGCAGTATAATGGGGGCAGTCTAACAAGAATAGTTCCTTCTCTGCAACAGTGTGACAGCCATTTACATTTCTTGAGCTCAGTGACTTACTGTGACATTACATTTTAAATGTATAATTTAAAATGTCCAATCTGTAGTATTACTCTTGCTTTCACCATGAATTAGTTGTTTAATCAGAACATCTTCCTTCAGCCCCTCACCCCAGGTGTCAGGAGAAATTAGCCCATTGGCACCTGCAGACAGGGTTCAGGGCACATCTGGCATTGGCAGGTGTCATGCTAATAATCTGAAGAGGCAGTCTTCATGAGTCTTTAGAAAACACTTCTTCATTGAGGTGAGGTGGGATGAAACTTGAAAGAGGATATAAATTTTTGGGTTAACTTCCTTCTACTAGGAAAATTTGCTTGTTACTTGTGTTATTGTTCCAAAGTGATAGATATAGGTTGCCTTTATGCTCTTTTGTAGTCCATTACCCTTACCTAGAATGAAAGAAAGCTAGCCAACTCAGTTACACATTGATTTGTACTGATCAGATTCAGATGAGAATGCAGAGTAATTGTATGGCTTTGGGTTTCAGAACTGCCTTTACTTACTTTTTGACACTGAAACTTTGCTTCAGTGTTTGAAATAAAGGGCTAGACTATACAATATTTGGGGTTTGCAGCTACTACGTTATAATAGTATAGAAAAGAAAATGTTTAATTTTCAATTTTTGGGGGTCAAAATCTAAGTTATTAAGCTTTTGGTTTTTAAAATTACACTTATAATATTCTGACAAATAATGGCACCTTAGTTGGGGGATGGTGAGATGGGCTTAGCAGATAAAGGCACTTGTCACTAAGCCTGACAACCTAAGTAAGATCCCCGGGACTCACGAGGTAGAAGGGAAGAACTGACTCCTTTAAGTTGTCCTTTAACCCCTGTGACATGCATCGCCCCCAACAAAACACACAATAAATAATAAGGATAAGAACATTTTTAAAAATGTGTCTTAGAATTTGAGATTCATTTTTAATGCATTTTCCCTTATTGGAAAGTATACTATACTGTAATTGATTTCTGAATATTTGAATTTCTTGTAGATAGTCATAGTAATTTTTTTAGGCTATATGGTCCAAAATAGTGTTTTAGAATGCAAAATTATTTTATGGAAGCATAATGAATCCTTAATATTTCCATTTAACCATGTGAAAGGAGTGTGCATTGGAAGCGTTGGAAGGCCTGCATTGAAACAAGAAGACACAGTGTAGGATCCGGACACTTCCATTGTAGTTTATTTACTGTTTATAGTCTCTGCTTTATTAAATAATTATAGGATTTTACTTAAAAGCATTATGCATGCTAATTGTATGGTTCCTGAATAAAGATATAGGAATTTTAATAAGTGATCTGACTTTCTGCTAAATGCCTGAAACATTATTCTGGAGGAAAGCTTTTCTGTTTAAAATTTTTTTCATGTCACTTCAACCCAGCTGATTATAAGAATTGGGTCAGACTGCCAGCAACTTAGGTTTGTGAAGGGAATGAACAGCTTTTCCAGGGACAAAGAGAAATGAAACCACTTTCAATGAAAGAAAGATGCCTCATTATAGTCACCAACAGCAGTTATTGACAGCTACACTTCCTATTAACAAGGAGCATTTAACTAAGAGTTTGGCTGGTGGATCTTTGGACTTGATCTAATTTGCTAGCATTAATTAGTTTCCTTTGAGCACAGACACTTGGTACTCACAGCTATAGATTTGGAGGGCTAATTAGGATAGAAAATTGAACAGAATGGGGTAAGGCATTAACCTTCAACCATTACCAGCTGGGACACTGATAAAGACCCACAGAAGTCCAAATGGTCGCTATTGATGTGAAGAGTGCCCTAATGAATATCCATTTCAGCCAGGTTGCTGTGTTCTTACTACTTCACTCTTCATTATAATTTTTAACCAGTTTCCATGATACCTCCATTATCTGTACACTATTGGTTTTTACCCTGATTTAGTCTAAGTTGCGCATTTCACTTATTGTTTAAATACTATTTAAACTACTTTTAAACAATGTGTAACATTAAAAATATTCCATTGTTAGGTACCCCAGTACTTCTAAAATATAACTTTCATACACATTTGCTGATTCTGTAGCAAGTTTATACAAGTTGTAACCAAGCCATTTCAGTGTAATATACGATAACTTTCTGACAAGAGAGTCTTAGCTTTTGGGTAGCAAGCAATATTTGTGTTAATAAACTGGTGTTTGTAAGAGGCTTTGTCTTAGCTGGGCGTGGCGATGCATGCCTTTAGTCCCATCACTCGGGAGCCAGAAGCAGGTAGATCTCTATGAGATAGATGCCAGCCTGGTCTACAAAATGAGTTCTAGGCCAGCTGAAGCTAAAGAGAGACCCCGTCTCAGAAAACAAACAAAAAAAAACCCCAAAAAACAAAAAAAGAGAATCTTCATCTCTATAAAATGTTTTAAGCTGGGCATAATGGCAGATGCCTGTAATTCCAGTACTTGGGAGATTGAGGCAAGAGTATCCAGTGTTTGAGACCAGCTTTGGCTACATAATGAGACCCTATCTAAAATTGTGTGTGTGTGTGTGTGTGTGTGTGTGTGTGTATACGCCTCTATCTGTGCCTATATATGTATTTTTAAGAATGTAAAATAAGAACCTAAAAACGTACATTGGTTTTTGACTAGAAACTTAGTATTCACCATCTTTTCTTTTAAAACTTGACTTTGATTTTATTAGTAAAGGGCATTGATTCAGAGATGAGATACATAGAGACTCCTGATCTTATGTTGTGGAAATTGTGACAAGATTGGAAACTCTTTAGTATCAGAAGAAAATTATTGATTTTAACTAAACTTCATAGCAGTTCTCTTTTGCCAGTGGCATTAGTGTGTGTGTGTTTGTGTGTGTGTGTGTGTGTGTGTGTGTGTGTGAATAGAGCCACTAGAACCAGTGACTAAAGTGTACAAGCAGACCTTACCACAGTGTATACACTGAGGATGGAACCCATGGAAAGCTCCAGAGTGACTGAATTTCTAGCTCTGTCCATCTTTCCTTACCTCCTCCTGCCCAAACAGAAACCCCTTTCTGCGAATTCTGATGAGGGAATCATTGCTGTACATTGCTTTTGCAATACTAACGTTGCTTTAGGGAGATGGCTAAAGTTCCTCAATTAGGTAAAGTTTACCTAAATTAAATCACCAAGCAGCTATTCATGGATCCAGAGAAGAAACAATGTAGATAACCGAACTCAGATTTGCGAGACACAAATTATGCTTTTTGCATCCTTTCCCTTTGGGTTGGGTTTCCAGTGCTACTTAATTTCAAGTACAGACATTTATGGGATTCTTTTTATGTATCAACTATGATGCAATATTTGGAGAAAATTTCAGATATCAAGAATCAGTATTAATATTTTTTGTTTTTTTCCTGTGTGTAGTTGACATTTGATAAAAGATCACTATGTTGCATCATGATGCTTGTTTTAAAAATAGAAAGATCCTTTGTTCCTTTTTTACTATCAAGATAAAAAAGTACTTTGTCATCAGAAATGGCCTAGAACTTTCTTTAGCCTAGTCTTGGGTGTACTTTTACTTTATTTTAGCATGTCTTTTCTGTTTGTGCTGTTGTCTTCTTGGTCTTTTGGCCAGTAAATGGGGGTACAGTTCTGGAGTAATTAGTGTTGAGTATTAAGAAGTATGGTTCATGTCCTTGAAACATCACAGAGCTGAAGCTAAGTACCACGGAAGCTTGGTGAAATGCCCCTTTGCCGTGTGCCTATAGCTGAACTTTGCTGCTTTTTGCCAGTTTCCAAAGACAGAAAAGAAAATGAGAGAATCTGTAGGTATTCTTGAGGAGGTTTGCAGGCAGAAGACTAGCAGGTGAGGATTGGAGCAAGATTATAAATGACTGGGCAGTCTCATCTAGCTATGTTACTTGAAGCTGCCAGAACTTTTCATTTGTGGTTTGAACCACACCATTATTGCCACATACATTTTT